CTAGGGAAAGAAACAGAACAATATTAATATAACAATGCTACAAAAGAAGTTTTATTCTTTTTTATTATTATGGTTATTGGAAAAGCAGAACTACAGAGAGGAGAGAGAGATCTTCCATCTGCTGGTTCATTCCCCAAATGGCCACAACAGCTAGAGCTGGGTCAGCCCAAGTGAGGAGCCAGGAGCCAAGAGCTTCCTCCGTGTCTCCCACATGGGTGCAGGGTCTCAAGGCTTTGGGCCACTCTCTGCTACTATCCCAGGCCACAAGCAGGGAGCTGGATGGGAAGTGGAGCAGCCAGGACATGGGGACACAAATCGGCAATCATTTGGCATGCTGGGTCTTGATGGCTGAGGATTAGCCAACTGAGTCATCGTGCCAGCCTCTGCTACCGGAAAAAAAAAATAAAAGCCAAATTCTCAAGTTGAGGACATAGGCTTTAGGGGGGTGAAAAAAAAGATTATTTGAAAGACAGAATAATGGAAAGCCAGAGACCCAAATCTCCACTCTCTGAATGGCCACAACAGCCAGGCTGAATCCAGAAGCCCAGATCAGGGTTCGCAGCATGAGTAGTAGAGGACTAAGGCCCTGGGCCATCCTCTGCTGCGTTGCCAGGCACATGAGCAGGGAGTAGGACTCAAACCAGTGCTCAAATGGGAGACTGGCACGGCAGGGAGCTTAACCTAGTGTGCCACAATGCTGGCCCTGAGGATATTTTTATAAAATCATTTCAAAGAAGAAATTAAGAAGGGGGCAAAAAACCCCTACAAAATTCAAACCTTAAGATTCAAGTCTTAGGCATTGATCCCACCCATTTTTTTTTCAAGACTGTTTTAAAGCTGTTCCCACTGGTGTTACTGAACCTCTGTGCTCCCACGCCCAAAGCCAGTACAGCTTCTTGAACCCTAAGTCCATCACTCCTCACAGATGCACTGCCTACAACAAGGTCTCATTGCTGCACTTCACCCGATCCCTCTTCAGAAGGCAAAGGACTCGGTCCGGTTCTGGTGGCACATCTGAGTGACCTTCAGCTTCTTGAAGCCTCACTTCCCTCTTGAGTCAAAAGATGACAAATACAGTCACTTTCGCAAAGGTTACCGGGAAGATTTTAGTAGCTGGTTTGCACAAACACTTTCAGCACAAAGAGCCATAAAACCAGCATGTTAACTGGTAATTATCAGCAGTCATCATTAACTTCTTAGCTCCCTATCTTAAATGGAAATCAAATTAGCCTGTGCCTAAGACACAGTGATGTGAAAATAAAGGAAGATATGCCACAAAAAAAATAAATAAATAAACACTCAGGAAAAGTTACCACCGAAACTGCAAGAACTAGACTGTGCATGGGGCTGCCGTCAAGGAGCAGTGAGCTAAGCTACCTCTTCCAAGGCCAGCAACCCATAGTGGAGTGCTTGTCCCAGTCCTAGCTACTCCACTTCCAACCTAGCTTCCTGCTATTGCAGCAGATGCTGCCCCAAGGATGTAGAACCCTGATACTGACATGGGAGACCAGGACTGAACTCCTGGCTCCTGGCTGGCCCAGACTTGGCTATTGAAGCCATTTAGGAAGTGAACCAGCAGATGAAGATTGATAGGGATCTACTTATTGATCTATCCCCTTTATCCCAACTTTCCAATATCAAAACAATCTTTAAAAAAAAAAAAAGAAATGGATCCCTGTGATATTTAGGATCTATATTACTACAAATTAAAACATAGTCATAAAGAGCATCTGAAACAACTTTTCCAAGGCATTAAACGAACCCAAACTCTGTAATAAACTGAATTCCATTCTTCTGAGAAGAGTAACATTTCCACACCACCATGCACGGTTTCATACACCTAAAAACTGCTGTGGAATCCAAGAGCATTAAACCAAGAAATCCTAACATTAAAACCAGAAAAGCTGGGGCCAGTGTCGTGGCATAGTTAGCCAAGACTCAGCCTGTAGCACCAGCATCCCACATGGGCACCGGTTCGTGTCCTGGCTGTTCCACTTCCTACCCAGTTCCCTGCTTACGGCCTGGGAAAGCAGTGAAAGATGGCGCAAGTCCTTGAACTCCCAGGCCCATGTGGGACACCCAGCAGAAGCTGCTGGCTCCTGGTTTCGGATCAGCCTAGCTCTGGCCATTGTAGCCATTTGGGAAGTGAACCAGAGGATGGGAAATCTGTCCCCCTTCTCTCTCTGTAAAATCTGCCTTTCAGATAAAAACAAATGATTATTATAAAAAAATACAGTAAAAGGAAAGAAAAACAGAACCTGCCAACAGCAGAGTAGTTGCATAAGACTAAACAAGCCAGCGATTAGTGCCACCATAAACTCACGAAAACAAACATGTCATTTGAGTCAGAACAAGCATGAGAAGCCAAGAGAACATCTAAACAGAAGGTATTTTTCTTTTGATTTTCACAAACAGAGACACTGTTTCGGGGTTTGCCGCCATCAGGGGAGAGAGGGCTGGAGGTGGGAAAAGCTTGGCTGCTGTAAGGGGAAGGAGACTCCAACCTAGACAAGGAGGTCTCCCATCTAAGCACCTGCAGCCTCCTGCGGGGGCGTGGCCGCCTCTCAGGGCCTGCAGCTGGTGGCAGGTGCTGTCTGCCAGCCACTAGCTCACTCCACACTGCACTGCAGCATCTGATAAGGGAGGACACTCTGGGCCAATAAGGGCAGCTGGGCAGGAAAGCCAAGGACCAAATGAGAAACGAGCTGATAAACAGCCGTGTGCTGTGCAGTGAGCAGTCTCCAGCCCCTTCACCTTGATTGCACTAAGCCAGCCACTCCCTCCATCATCACCGCCTCTCCCAGCTGCGCTCAATCGCCCCAAGGAACATCCCAGCAGACCACACACATGTCCCCCTCCCCCACTGTCGCTGCCCAAGGGTCACCTTCACAAAGCCAGTGATAAGGAACCATAATGGTTCAAGAAAAGCTTAGAAACAAGGTCTGGACACCATGAATCTCATCCACTCACAACTTCCCAGAGGAGGGGAAAAAAAACATTTGTGGGGCTTTTGTTGTGGCACAGCAGTTCCCACATGAGTGCTGGTTAGAGTCCCGGTTGCGCTGTTTCTTATCCAGTTCTCTGTTAACACACCTGGGGAGGCAACAAGCAATGGACAGCCTAGGGTGCTTGGCTCCAGCCCACCATGGGGGAGCTGCAGATGGAGTCCCAGGCTCTTGGCTCTAGCTTGACCAGCCCCAGCTGGGGTGGCCTTTTGGAGCGCGAACCAATGAAAGGAAGCTCTAGCTCCCCTTCTGCCTTGCAAATGAAGAAATCAATTTTAAAAATAAAAAAGCATGATTGTTGGAAACCCTGGGCAAGGCTATCAGAGTATCCAGGCATAGAAAGTGCAAAGTATAAACTTCTTTGTCCTGCAAATGTAGGAAATCATAAAATGATCAGAGATAAATGAAAAATACTACTTTCACTGCAATCCTTCAACTTATTTAATCTAAATAATTTAGACAAAAAAAAAAAACACAACACTTTGACCAGATCTCTTCAAAGAAAGGCAAAAATCCTATTTGCTTTCGATTCTATTTGTGGCTTGCGTGATTTAGTGTTTCTTTCAGGAATACTTACAGCGGCAGACCTAGTTTTTTCTAGGCCCTGGGGATAGCTCACTGCTCGCTGTTGATACCACCACTGCATTTCTGCCCAGCTGGCTCTTTCCCAACTAAACACAACCTTGGTGGATCAAGAAGAGGCCTTAAGAGAAACAGAGATGGGTGGAGAGTACACATGTTCCCTGTAAGGGAAACACAAACCATGGGAAAACATACAGATAATATTTCCAATTATTGCGGATGCAAAGATGCATGGATACGGTAATCATCATCTTAAACAAATGCCTAGAAAACCAAGAGAGGGAAGGATTGTGGGTGCAAGTATCGCCCACGGTCCCAGTAGCACATAGTGAGGTTATATGGAAAAAGTGTCTCCTCGAGGCAGATGGAGGAGAAGTTACGCGACACCAGGGTGGCTGTTCACAATCTCACCCCATTTCAGCCCACTCTGATTTCCTTTTCATTGACTCCGAAAATGCCGACGACTTTACCCCTGAGTCACACGGAAAGGCGTAGCAAATTCAACTTGAACCTCCTTCAAACTGGACCCGATGCCATGAGATCCCACAAAGATCTCTGATCGCTGTATCTGCTTCCTGACACGCTGCACCCTGAGGCCCTTGGAACGCAATGCGAGGTGAGGGCCGCCGAGCCTCAGGGGGTGACACTGGTTGGGTCCCCAGTTAATGTCGGGCTGACCAAGCCTGGCACTTTTCATATCTGCCCAATCAGGGCTGATGATTTGATCAACCACGCTTGCCGATGAATCTCCACCATCACCTCTAATAACATGACACAGCACAGTGAGCTGGTGAACTCCTGAGTGTGCTAGAAGTGCAATGCACCCTGCCTGGGTCACCTGGACCACTGCAGGACCTTGCCCTGAGGGCCAGGCTGTCCCTTTGCAACTGTTATGACAGCAAATGTGTGAAACGTCTTCTTGAACCTGACCATCATTCTAGCCGATTACTAATCAGGCAGACAAGGCTGACAAACACATGGGTAACCTGGGTGCCTGACACTTGTAACCAGTGCTGGAAATGGTGTGGGGGGCAGTCTTGTTGGCCCATGCATTTAAACCTGAGGTGTTTGCCCCTAAATTCTAGGTAGTTAACATCCAGAAGACAGCAAACTGCAGAATGTCTCAGGTCCTCTTTCTGTTTTACACACACACACAGACACACACAAAGCATTGTCCCAATCATTCCTGGACCTCTAAGAGGCCCTGAACTATTTCAACAAATGACACTCCAGATACACCACCTCTAGGAGTATTTTCTTATGTTCTGATTTTCGTCCCCTTCCTAATTCATAGCAGAAGAGGCCCTTTTGTATGAGTCTGCTCTAGCTGCTGTAACAGTTACCACTAACTGGATGGCTTAAAATAATGGGACTAACACACCAGTTCACAGGTGGCCAGGAAGTCAGCAACTC